AGCGTAATGAACAATGATATCGAAAGCTGATTTGCATCAAAAAAAGATCATGCTATCCATTTGGTGTTGTGTATTTTGAGTAACAACTAATAAAACTGAAGGAAGCCACCAAAAAAATGGACAGAATTGGAAAATCATGTTTTACCAAAGTAATAAAAATCCTCACACATCTTTGGTAACTCGTGAAAAATTATTGTAGCTTGGTAGGGAAGTAATGTCGCATTCTGTATATAGTCCAGACCTTGTACCATCAGATTACTATTATTATTTGCAAAACTCTTTGAATGGCAAAACTTTTGCTAATTATGATGACCTTAATTCACACTTGGTTCAGTTTTTTGGTAATAAGATCCAGAAGCACTATGAGCGCGAAATCATGAAATTGTCAATAATATAGCAAAAGATCATGGAACAAAATGGAAAATATATAATTTTAAAGTTAATTTTGAAAAATAGTTTTATTTCAGACTAAATAACCGAAAGACTTTCTTGCCTACTCAATAAATTATTGAATTTACAAAATTATTTATTTAAAAAAAAAAACAATATTTTCATTAATAAATGTGAAACAAAGTTGGATATCGAATGCAGTGTTGTTGCACCTTTACATTTGCAAAATAATCTTAAAATCTGAAGTGCAGCTAATTTTATAATAATTTACAATAGTCAATGTTAATATAAATGAGTTTCAGTAATTTTTCCTTATTGTGAAAACCTAATTCTGAGAAAAGAAACAAACGAATTGCGAATATTGGTTGGTGCGACGGTGGTAGAAATGCATTTAATATAAGAGTATATTGGGTGACTCATCGCGCGTAATCGGATTATCGATAAAGCCAATCTAGTTCCTTCGTATTACGCCATATTTCCATGATCCGTCGAGTAAAGAAGGAACAACAGCAACAACAAAAAAAAGCAGTAATATGCAGTCATTAGCATGTGTTGACGCACGTCACGACCACCCTCTTAGTTTCCTAGACAACGGAAGGGTTATTCCCGATTATATGAAATATTCACCTACTAGATTGAATCGCATTTGACAGTTACATTACACAATTTAGAATATATTTTCTTGTACAAAATAGATTTCTGTATTTATGTAATACCAATTATGATTGTTAATAAAAAAAAAACTATTAATTTCATGTTCTATAAAAAACATTTCTCAGTTAAAATACTATATAATTCATGATCAATTCATAAGATTCAATTTTCTCCAATTACATCCCTTTATATGATCTAATAGGTTGCATTCCTTTTTTTTTTTGTTGCGTTCCTTTCATCTCGCAAAATCTAAATCTGTACACTTTTTCTTGAAATTCTATTTAGATATTGTGCGGATCGTGAGATAAGGGTGTCCTCGGTGTAAATAGTTCTTATGTTACATTAAAATGTGATACTCGGGCCCATTATTTGCCATTATTATCTCGTCTGCAGAATCTCCTCACTTCGAATCCGGGTGCCGATGAGAATCGTGTGAGAAAAAAAAAATGTGGAAGAAATAAAAAGAAGAAAAGTAGCGTAAAAGTCTAGAATGTAGTACACAAAAAAAACGTCAGGTAAAAACACCCGCTCGTCTGAAAAATATCGATTACTTAATCAGATTATGTCCAAGTGTTAAATTGATTAAATTCTATAGTTTCCTGTTATCAATTTAAAATATCAAGAAATAATAATATTTATGTATAATTTTTATTTGATTTATAATTGTCAACGATTTTGTTTCAGATGTGTGTATTACAATTTGTCAATAAGTATAAGTTTATAATTTCAATATTCTTTATTTTCTTCCAACATATGTGGTATACTCATATGATATTTTCATTGTCAATGATTGTTAATAATTCTTGGTTAAGTACGTATGTAATGCAAATGTCATTTTATCACATAACCTTCGTTACCTAAATGACATATATCACAGTTGACGTTACGTCAATTACTTGATTTTTTTCAATGTTTTGAAAATGTAATGATAAATCAATATTTTTATATGTAATAAAAATATGTGACAAATTATTGAGCAAAAAAAAGTAAATCTAAAAATCATTTTTTTCCTCTATACACTCAAGTCCGTTTTTGGATCATTTATTTCTCTTTGTTTTTAAAGTCCTTAATTATACCGGTTTCGATACTATGTATTTTCAAAATGGAATAGAAAATTGTAGAAAATGTAATATGTAATAAAAATATGTGACAAATTATAATGTTCAATTCTCTTTTTTTCCTTAAACGTAATGACATATGACATTATAATAAATTATTTATGTTGTGTACAACATAAACTGCTATTAAACCTCGCATAGTTCGATTTAGATCAGTGCGGATTCACTATAGTACAGTTTGGAAATTTCAAAACAATGTTTTTTTTATCGAGCAAATAAAAAATATATCTAAAAAGTTATTACATATGTTTTTTCCAAATGATATATGAATGATAAATGATATATTTTTTCGTGATGACATGACATATGTCATTTACTTGAATGCTAAATTTGTTTTATAATAAATAATTGATGTTGTGCACAACATAAACTGTGATGAAGTTATTATCTATTATCTTCGTGAGATTCATTATAGTACGGTTTAGTAATTTCAAAACAATGTACATTTTTATGGAGCAAAACAAAAATAAATCTAAAAAGTGTATACACAAAATTATATTTTAATGCATAAATGACCATTTTTCCTCTATATACTCAAGTCCGTTTTATCCGTTTATTTCTCTGCCGGTTTCAAATACTCGTAGTATGCGAGGTATTGCTGTATTTTCAAAATGTAATAGAAAATTAATATTTTCCAATATTTTTTTATTTTTTATGTCATTCGCCACGAAATATTACGTGAAGAGTTTCGAAATTTGTATTTTTAATATCAAAGTAAGAGTTTTACGAGAAACAAATTTAAAACTTCCTTTGCCAATGAAATAATTGGAGATGAAACAAAAAAATCAACGATAGAATTTAATTTCGCTGCAGTTTCAAATGAATCAACTCTAGCCGTATGTTCCGCAAACAAACAAAAAAAGCGAAGTACGTATCAGAGGGGAAAGCATTCATCGCTTGTTTTCACCCTCCGGCATTTGTTTCGTCGATGCAAGGACGCAACGGCAACACATCTCGACTCCCTAGTTACATTTCGTTATATTTTTGTTTTTTTTTTGTTACCACGAGATTCGTGTTTGTTTCAGATCTGCGCATACTTCGGATCGAGAGGATTGAGATAAAAGAATAATCAAAAATCAAGGATGGAAAAGGATGAAATAAAATAAACGAAACGAAAGTTTTTTTATGGTAATTCAAAACAACGTGGTATTATTTTCTTGCTCATTTCATTATTTTTTTTGGTTTGTTTACGTTTCGTTTAACATTCAATAATTACAAATACATCGAAAAAACGTGGGTCGCGAAATTCCAGAATTCCAAATTTTAATAAAAAAAACAAAGGAAAGGAAAATAATATACAATATAATAATAATAATAGTAATATTAATATACAAAAGAAAACAATAAAACAATCGATTGAAATAATAATAATAATATTATATATATAAAAAAAAGAAAACATCACTCTTTCACAATTTGTTGTTGTTAAATAATTATTATATTTTTTCTGTGTTTCTGTTTAACAAAATAAGGGAAAAAAACTAAACTTCTTTTCTTCTTCTCTCTTTTACGAATACTTCGCGCGTTGGATCCTCATCTTGCGTCTTCTAAGTCGTCGTCTTCTTCGTCGTCCTTTGTTGAGGCGCATTTGAAACCCTGGTCCTCGTTAATTACAATCAATAATAAACATACTCTATCTAATAAAAAATATTGCAAATGGTTCAAGTCGACATTGTTAGATCAATTGGCGCGAAGATCCTCTCCAAAAATTAATGTACATTTTTTTTTTCAAATTAATAAGTGTCTAGGATAGGTTTTTTTGTTTTTAAACACCGATAGATATATTAATATTCACATTATCATTATTATTTTTTATATGTTTATATATATATATATATATCATATATATATGTATATTATTTATTCCAATTTTTTTCTCCACATTTTCCTTCCGCATTTTCGAAATTTCCATTCTAATAATGCAAACTAAACATTTATTATCTCCTGTTTATTCACCTGTTTTTTTTTAATATATATATACTTTTATTTTCTTTTGTTTTAAATATATATATATAGATGTGTGTGTATGTTTGTTTATGTGTGTTTGACTCGAGATTTGGCCTCGAAATAATTGAATCGTATTATTCGGTAATAGTAGTAGTTATTTTTCTTTATAATTAATAATAAATTTGTACAGTGTTTCTTCGTCTTGTTTTTTCCATATTTTTTTTCCATCTTGTTGTTGCTTAAATTTATTTAAAATTTAGTTTTTTTTTTCGTTCAATTAGTCTACTAGTTACGGCAATAAATACTGGTTGTATATACAGTCAGGCTATACTGGCCAATTTGATATGATCCAGGAATGTACAGTGAGGTCCCACTACGGCAGAGGGAGCTGCGAGCGTTGCTCGGGGTGGCGGGGGCGGAGAGATTTTTTGTTTGTTTCTCCGCCCGCGCCGCGCGCTCTCCCGCGGGTCTCCGTACTGGGGCCCCTCAGTCTCATCAACACAACAACTTAATCGCTACTTTTAGGTATACAAATATATATATAAAAAAAATCAATATATGTACGACAAAAAAAATGTAAACATTGCTTTGGTATCAGTTACAACGAACAATAATAATAATAATAGTTAATAAGTAAATAAGTAATAGGGTTCGCGTTTTTTTTTCATTCTTCTCGTTATCAATTATTACAATCATCAAGAACAAAAAATAATAATAATAGTAACTAGTTATAATAATATATATAATGTAACTAAGGGAAGGCCGTTTTCACTCTTATATACATACAACGTCACGACTCGGAATTATTTAGGAAATAACGCACTTTATCATCGTTTTTTCTTTCTTTCTCTCTCTCTCTTTAATGTACATATATATATATAAGAAAACAAATAAATACTATTGCGTGTAATAATAATAATAGAACAGAAACGAATTTTTGGCGTTTTTTTTTGTGTATCCCTAAGTGATTCTGAGCGCGCGACTTTAGGCCAACCCGGGAACTGGGTCCGTTATTTAATGTGGAATCAACCGGTTTTTTTTGTTGCGTAAATAAAACTTCAACACATTCTTTGTCCTTCTAGGAGCGGTTGATGTTTTGTTGGGGAATTTCAACAGTTAATGTCTTTCAGTTGTTGTTGGGGTTTTGAGGGATTTCGCGACTAGTAGGTGAGGCTGGACGGGGGCGGGGGTAGACGCACTCCGCCCCACGGAAAGAGTCATGTGGCCTCCTTGGATGTGATGCTCGTCGAGCTGTCCTCATCTCCTGAGAGCATCGGCATCGTGGCTAGAAGATGTCCTTTGCCCTGATTTACGACGCACTTCCTCATGTGCTTCTCGAGGGTGGACGGCACCGAGAAGGGCATCTCACAGAACCTGCAGCGGTAAACATCCTTGCCGATGCGACCGTGCGTCTTCATGTGTCTCGTCAGTTTCGAGCTCTGGGCGCAAGCATACGAGCACAGCTCGCACTTGTACGGTTTCTCCCCTGTGTGGGATCGCCGATGAACGGTCAGGTTCGAACAGTTCTTGAAGACTTTGCCACAGAATTCGCAGGTATCGTTACGTCTGGACTCCTTCTTCAGCAGGGGTCCGGGAATGAGGCTCGGTCCTGCGAGACCTTTTCCATCGCGCGATAAACCGGGCATCCACCATTCGTCCAGCTTAAGTCTCTTCGTCGTTTCGTAGGCATCGTTGAAGGGCGGGAAGAGCGGCATCGGATGAGGCGCAGGGCCGGGTAGGAGACTCTTGAACTCTTCGCGCAGCTTAAGCTGAGCTGCGAGAGTACTGTTGTTGTTGTCACGATCCTTGCTCGACATCTGCAGCTTCAGCGCAGATCCGGACTCCTGGAGGGCCTGCTTGTAGGCTTCGTTGTATTGTGCGATGTTGCTCAACCCGAACTTGTCCATCAGCTCGCCAACAAGACTCGCCGATTGCGAACCCTTCACGGTCGCATTTTGACTAGGAACACTCAGGTCTTCGGCTTCCTCCTCCTCAGCCTCCATCTCCTCATCCTCGTCCTCCTCCTCATCCAAATCCTCCTCCTCGTCGCTGTCCTCTCCGTCGATGGTTTCCACAGATCCGGCATTGCTGGTACGGTCTTCCGGCGTCCGATGGATCTTCATGTGTCGCTTCAACTTTGAACTTTGCGCACAGGCGTGATCGCATACGGTGCACTTGTACGGGAGCTCTCCGGTGTGCGTCCTCCGGTGCACATCCAAATTACTCTGATACCTGAACTTCTTTCCGCAGTAATCGCACGCGTGAACAGCGTCGACGCTCGAATTCCTAGGCGACAGCGGTTTTCCATCCGGTGTTGCCGTGGATCTGGGCGTCGTGGTCAGCGGTTGTGGGGCATCTTCAATTTTAGTTTGTGGCGACACGCTCTGCGGCCTGCTCTCCCCACTGCTGTTGTTGTTGTTGTTCACGTTGCTATTGTTGTTATTGTTGTTACTGCTTAAGCTACTTGTGTTGTGACTGGTATTTATAGGGAGGGAGGAAGGCGAGGGACTTGCGAATGGCGGTGAGAGCTTCCGGGGTGACGGGGAGCTCGCCTGAGCCGCCCCCGGGCTGGTGGTACCAGCGAGTTGCCTCAACCGCTGCGAGTAAAAATCCAGTTGCGGTTCCATTGAGAGTTGTTGCTGCTGCTGTTGTTGGTTTGGCGTTGACCGTTCGCGGATCATCGTTGGCCCCACCGGCTGACGATCCGCCGGCGACGGAAAATTTGGATGCGGCGGATGAGGAACAACGCCTCCACTGGCGGCAACGGCTGCTGCTGCTGCAGCCAGATTCAATCCGTGGTGTCGGAACTGTTCGCTGACGAGCTGCTCCATCCTGAAGTGATGTTCGGGCCTGGAGAAGAGCGGCGCCGGAGGAACGGGTCCATGGTTGAGCGGCGGCAACGGCAAACGAAGTAGACCACCGACGCTGAACGGGTTGTGCATATCTGGTGGCGGCAGCAAGTGATGCCTCATCTGAGGTGGCGGCGCGCTGCTACCCGACGAGCATCCTGATGACGTCGAACTTGAGCTGCTCGAACTGTGGTTGTTGTTGCTGTTTCCGTTGCTGCTGTTTGTGCTCGTGCTGCTCGTCTTCGAGATCGACGAAGGTGAACTCTCAACGTATATTTTGACGCCATGCGAATGCTGGACGTGTTGTACTAGTCTCCAAGCGGAATGCAGTCTCGCCTTGCACGTGGAGCACACGTAGTTGCTGGGTTCTGGAACAGATGGAAGGAAACACGTGCGATTACATTTTTCGGAACCGTAAAGTGGTTGCAATTTCGACGTCGCATGTGGCGCGAGCGTCGAAATGATAATAAAGTGAAAAATCGCGAAATGAAAAATGGCTCGGACATTTTATGCTCGAAGGAAGAGAGGAGAGCTCAACTCAACCCTCCTCTCTTACACCACCCTGCATATATATATATGTGTGTGTGTGTCGCACGTGACGCGACTTGCAAATTGCCGCGCCGAAACCGCACATTTAGGTTTGGCCGGAGAGGGTGAACATAAGTGTACTCCGAAGACGTAGAGAAAGCAGCAGCAGTAAGAGAAGAGGAGAGAATGAGTAGTGTAAAGCACGCGATGACAATGCCTAGGAAGCATGGATAACTGAACACTGTTGCGGCGAGGTCGAATTTAAACATCTTATAATTTTCCGCAATGCCATTGTTCTCTTTCTCTCTTTCTTCGTCGTCGCCGTCGCTGCCCCCAGGAGTAATTTTCCGCCTCCGACAATCGATCTTCGAGTCAAATTTCTTCCGGACTTCTGCATTTCTACACACGTTAATTTCTAACGTCCCCTCTCACCCGACAAACACGCAACTTTCCGTGCTTTGATTTCAATGCAATTACAATAAAAAAAATGTCCAGTTATATAATTTTTAAAAAGCATTCAAATATATTTAAGCCTTAAATGGATGTGTGGAAAGGACGCCAATTTTAAGGCTGAAGTTGACGAGCAGTAATTACTGGATGTTTCCAGGATGCGCAACAATAATAATAATAATAATGGATCGATCAATAGGCGAAAAATGAAAGAGAGATGTGATGAGGTAATTGAATGAGAGACTCGGACGTTTCGCGTCTCTTCCTTCTCCTCTTCATCCACCTTCTCCTTCATCCAGAGTTTGACAGTGAGTGTGAGTAGTATTCATAAATGATTTCCGCGATAACAATAAAGCGCGCCGTGCTACATAGATTTCACATGGCAAATGCCAGCCGGTAATTTGTATTATAATGCATCGACTGAGGCCAGGCTCAACACACCTCCAACCTATGCAAATAGGACATCATTGTATGATTATCGCACGCGCCTTTTCATTTCTCTCTTCATCTCTCTCCCTGCTCCTCTCCTCTCCTCGGCCCGCATCTCATTATATCTCCTCTTTTTCGCATATCACTTATTACGGGCCTTAATTACAACTAACATCGCGTTATGAGATCATCCGCTAATTGCGCGACTTTCCACCGACTTTTTCTCTTCTTTTTTTGCATTCATTTCAATGGACTCTTTAAGGGTTACCGCAAATCGATCTACGCAACTGTTCAACAAGCCAACATATACACACAAAAAAACTTGTCGCCACCCTCTTTATTAAGAGAAAATTGCGAGGGAGGGGAATAGAAAATAATAAATTTGAAAGAGAAAAAATGTGTGTGTGTATAGACATTATGCGGTATCGATAACTCGCCGTCGGGCAAACGAAAAATTTGATAATCGGGTGTGTATTGTGCGCGCGTAATAACGGTTATTTTTGATTTTCCGCTGCGAAGGGAGCATATTTCGATAATAGATTAGGGTGGATGAAAGTGTGCGTTGAATTTTAAGTTTTTTTCCCGTCGCATCGATTTTTTTTCTTTCTGCATGTGCTTCTTGTTCCTTACACTCTTCCTCCTCCTGTTCATTTTTTTATGTTGGCCACGCGTTTCACGGCACGGGCTGATGATGATCTCTCCCCGGTCGGAGGTATAACCCATCCTCGCCGGCTTTATTACCCCTTCGCTCGTTTAAGCACAGACGAGTAGAGTCGTGTGTTTGCGCACGTGGCCCAACGCGCCACCAGTTTTACAGACATCAAGAAGATCAGGTAATTATTTATTTTTTGCTCCTCTCCTCTATCCATCCATTCGTATTCAAAGAGTCCATCATCCCTTTCCAGCACTCTTTCTCTTCTTTTTTAAGGTCCACCGATGCGGAGTGGCTTACGGTTTCCAGTCACGGTCAGCGCAGAAGGCTTACCCAGCCATTTGCATAAGTTAGAGGGTGCCAGACAAAGGATACGCCACGAACGCGCGATTATTTATCGCGGGGGCGGTGAGAGAAGAATGAAGAAGAGAGAAGATAAAAAAAGTGAATCTGGAAACATCTGCAATTCGATAGCTTTTTTCTTCTTCGGCCCTCTGATACCGTTATTATTATTTAAAGCGGGCGGCGCTGGCGGACAATGGCACATTTGAATATCGCGCCCCCTTATCGCGTATGACAGTTGACAGATGGTGCGTTATTTAAAAAAATATATATAAATAAATGGACATATATAGAAGATGGATCAATTAAGATTGCAACCGGAGCAAAATATTGCGTTGACGTTTTGACTGTGACATCGTCGGAATTTGAAATAGGGGATGACGGTGTTTCTTTGGCATGTCAAAGAGTTGCGTATGCAAACCGCGCGACTGCTGCGTTTATTGCAGACCCCGTCTATTTTGACGTTGACACGTCGCGGCTAATTTGACGGAGCATTACGTGACGATGGATGTTTTTTTTTTCAACTTACCGCTGTGCGTTGTGTTGGATTCTGCGTCGGCGACTTCCGTGCGCGACTTCTTGCAGGAACTCTCTTCGGGGCAGGAGGAGGACATATCCATGCGCTCCTGTTTGATTCTGGGCTTGATGTCCTCGCCATCCTCTAAACTCCCGGAGGATGTCAGAGGGGATGAGGAGGCTCGTCTTTTCGGCGTGGAAGAAGCGGCGCCGTCGACGCAGAGGTCTCCTGGTGCTGGTAACCTTGGCGACGCTGGGGGCGGTGTGTGCACCCTCGTCGTGCCGCTTCCGGAAGCCTTCTTTCCGGAGATCGGTGCCGAGATGCTCGGCCGTCTCGTGTTTATCGTGGATAAAGGAAAGCCACCGTCGTTATCGTTGTGATTATCACCGTGACTGCCGAAGCAGTTGCCTAGGTTCTCCTTGCTGCAGGACGTGATTTTATGTTGGATGAAGCGAACGATGTCCGAGAGGGCGAACGGTTTTTGGCATGTGCCGCATGTCAGTATGTCCTGGTGCGACGTTTCCGTATCTGGCTCGTCCGTATCTAAGCAAAAGAAACAAAAGAAATTCATAAATATTTTTGTTAATTTTCCAAACATTTTAATACAAATTATTGTAATATGAATAATGGAAAGCTTTTATTTCTAGCTAGTATATTCTCTTTATCATTATTAAATTACTTGAAAATGTTTAATGAAACGTTGTAATTGGAGCAAACCAAAAAAAAGAAGCTTTTACATCTATTGTTTGATGTCTGTCGTCAACACTTTCGTTGAAACGTTGTAAACAGCACGCCGGGATCGCGTCTTGACAGATGTTTTTCGTTCTCTCTTTTGTTATATGCATCGGGGTGGATTGGATCGAGTGTGTATATAAGTGAGAGAACGGATGGAGGAGAGGAACGGGTTTTTCGAATGAAGTAAATAAGCGGTCAGTGTACGTCCAACCGGTGTCCAGCAACCCTCGAACTGACCACTCCCCGATCGTCCAATGGGGAGACAGGACACATACCATTGGCCGCCTTTCTGGACGTTGGTCAAATATCTTACCCATCCCATACAAACACTCACACAAAACCCGAAATCTCATACAATTCCCTTTTCCCTACGAATACGAGAAGGGGATGGAGGTGGATTTTCTCATACATCATCAGATGTTTTTCGATCTATATGTATATGACCGTCGATATCTCCCGGGTTTTTATTGATAGGGCGATTCGATTCGGTTGTTCCTGGCCTCCGAGGGTCGAATGTTTCAATGTTAGGAAAAGAAAAACGAAGAAAGCAATTGTCGTTGATGAAATGGGAAATCGCGGGAATCGTTTTCGATTACAGACGAATAAATGTCCGGTAAATTAAGCCCTTTCGGCCATCGGGACACGCATCCAGGTGCAGTGCATAATGGACCAAAAACACTCGGCTCTTTGTCGCATGAAAGGGTTTTCGGGTGGAGGAAGGAAGGGCTGCTGCTGCTTGTACCGCTTTTTTTCTTCTCTTCTCTTCTCTCCTCTCTACTTCTTCTTTCCCTTCGTATAAACATGCCATGTAACGGCCTCCGGCGACTCCTCCTCCTCCTTCTGCTTTCGTTAGCGCCCGCGACGTAATCGCGTTACCCGTTATTCGTTTCTCTACTTTTTTTAACGTGTATTATTTGTTTGTTCTTGCATCGCCGCCTCCGTTCTCTCCACGGTCAACGTAATCGAATGAGCAGGGGACTGAGAGATCCTCCGGGAGTTGACGAGCCTGTGTCACGCACGGCGCTTAACTCGGTTTGCGGGAATAATTCCATTTATCAGGAGGAAAGAAGTTTGATTGATTTCTAATTTGTATTAGTGCGGGGCGATAAATATGACCAAAGAGCAAACAAGCCTGTTTATCTCGAACGACCGCATAAAAAGGGACTTCCCCCCTTTTACATCATTCTCTCTCTCTCTCTCTTTCTATGTGTTTCTCATTCACTTTTGGCCGTATCAGTCACGCCCTTGCTTTTATTATATTGAATTTCGCTCGTTGACTGACCCGAAAACAACATGCACTGTGCGTCCTTCCTCCTCTTACAATTTGTGTGCGAAACAACCAACCTCCCCCCGACACACACATGTTCGATCTGCTGGTTCGATCTGCAGGGGTTGGTTTGTTTCATAGTTCAGATCTCCTCTAGTTGCGCCCATAAATATTTTTAATTGCGATAGCGAGAGAAAAGACCGCTCGTCCTCTTTCTGCCCTTCTCGCTTCTGTCCTCCTTTACCGCTATTAGCGGCAGCAGACACTTGATTGAAAATATTGCCCCTCGGCACTGATTAAGCTTCGGCCGCCGCACGGTTCGAGCTGCTCTGGATTATTTTATTGGCCCTTAAGGGGTGACATATGAAGCCCGGGTCGTGACACAAACTACTCGCAGCATCCGTCCATTTCTTTTGCCGCAACTCGCGCGACAATTTATCGCGAATCTCGAATTAATTCCATCTTCTGCTATTCCTCCCCAAAAACTTAAGTTTTCCCGTTAACCCGGCGAATCCCCACACATATTTTCATTCTAAATCCTCAACTCACAAAACACACATCATACTTTTCTACAATCTTCAACTTTTATACATGAAAATTTACTAAATTATAGTTTCCCATCGCATGTACAACATAATTCGTAACAATAAAAGATTTATCAATGCAATATACATTTTATTTGCTATGTAATTCTTATTTAAGAGCAATTTTTCATTCATTATAATTAATATATTCAATTATACTGTTAAAAGAAAACATGATAAACTTATATTTGTCAATAAACTTAATCACGTTCACTCGCACTGAATAAATACTTAAATATTGAAATATATGTTCGAAAACTATTCTATTTAAATTTATGAAACCATTCGATATTTTGAAAGAAACTTTTTAAGTATATTTATGTTTAAATGTGAATTCAATTGGCTTACCCAAATACTTGTTCCAGAAAATGTTCATTTTCATCAGCAATTCGTAATTAATCATCGCGATGGTCAAAGTCAATGCATAATCCAAATATAAAAACAAAACGAAATATAAAATAACTGATACCGAAACAAACGATTGTAGAAGAAAAAAAATCCAAGACGAAATATATAAGGATTTTTTTTCTCACTGAACATACATAGAAGGTTATAAATTTTTTGAACTGTTTAGTAATTGCTACTTCCGCATGCGATCCGATCGGATGCTGTGCATAGACTGATCCTCATCATCGCTGGACCCTGGTCTCTTTAGGGGACCCAGGTAAAACGGATGGGTCTGATAGAGAGGGGGTAAAAATATATATAATAATAGAAGGAACAACTATAACTTACGACCCTCTAGATTCAGTATTATAAACACACACACACATCGGCATAAAAAAGTAGGATATTTTTTTTTTATATTTGGTTCGATATGTTCAAATTCATAAATTTATGTACTTATGCAATTTCGTAGATAATACTAAATAGGAAGAAATAACCGAATGACTAAATATGAGTGGAAAACAATTGATTTGATTTGATAATTGAATCAAGTTTGCGGAAAGTATCGGATATCAAATTTACACTTACGTTTTGCAAAATCTATTAGATTATTTTTAAAGGAATATTCATCGAGGTAATTGTAAAATAATAAAAAAAGAAAGATTTTAGTACATGGTTAGAGAGAAATTGAGCGCGCTGTTGGGAGGAATATTCACATAAATTACTTATCTATTAAATCACCGATCCGTGTTCATTTGGAATTTATGGCCGAGGGAAAAGCGCGCGTTTCAAGTAAATCTACACACACAAAACAGAAAAGACAACATTTCCCATCATGAATATCAATTTTTCCTCATCTCCAAAAAAAAGTTAATGCAACCTTGGTTGCCTATAATAACCAATTCGATTTTACACATTAATTTGCATAAAGGTTTTGTGCGAGGGGTTGGATCAACGGATGGATGGGGGTGTCATTGATTAGCGCGGAAATAATGAGCGGTTTTTTTTTGTGTGCAGCCGATCCCCGCTGCGAGGGAGGACAATGCGTCGCAGCCAGTTAATTAGGAAATGCAAAATGCACATGTTTTTCGGTTTATAACGAGTGGAGCGCAATTGTGTAAAGTTTTGTGCATTGTGTGACCGTTGCGAGAGCATCCCGCAAAAATGTTAACTATCCAAAGGGTTAAAAACTGATGCAGTAGGAATGTTTTGTTTTTGTTTTCTTGTTGCTTTTGTTTTTTTCAGTCATTCCCACACGGCCCTCGCCCACGGACATCTGTCCTCAACCGCGCACACAAAGACGAAGCGAAGATTAGGATCGGAGGGAATAATGATTAGCTTCGGATTTCGCGTTATTTGTATTTCATTTGCGTCGCTAACGATGTCCAGTTGGAGAAGAAGGTCTCTAAGCTCTTAACATAAAATTTACATGTTAGTTTGTGTGGTCCTCGGAAGGCAACAGGAACAGAAGAAGAAGCAGAAGCAGCAAAAGAAGAGACGGCTTCATTAAACGAAATATTTATTTCTATGTCTGTGCATCCTTTGCGTTCGTTCGTTCGTTTGTTCTCGAAACTGTTCCTGCAAAAGATTTATAATTTTCTCGACTCCATCGAGCTCCTCCACCAGATCGTATCTATTTCGTTCTATCTGCACATGCTGAAGAACCACTCTTTATATATACACACACACAATGTTAAACTGCGATATTAACGTGGGAACATCGAGATAAGATCTCTACGCTTCTTGGACCACATACTGGAAGCAAAAGAAATTCGATGACCATTCCATCAACATCATCATCTTCTTTCCAAAAGTTTTGTTATTGAGATACATCCCTCCCTCAACATTTTAATGTTTTGTTATAATAAAAAAGAAGGCTGGAAGAATTACGGTATTTGAAAGGTGTATGTGTATGCGATGTTTGCGGCGTGCGCAAGGTGTTTTCGTGTTTGATTCTCCCACGCTCTAAATGCGAAGTGAAGGGTCACCACACCGCACCGGAGGGGAGATCCTTCTTTATTTTATTTTTTTTTTGATATGCTGTGGGCGCTTTACGAGGAGAGGACAATGGTCAGTTGGGACCTGCTCTTTCCACAGGATAAAACCGTTCCATTATGCCGGTAAATAGATTTGCCCATTCAAGCTACCTGTCCGGCAACTCCTTTGCTTCCTCAACTCCTTCCAAAACCACCCGAAAAACATCGATGCCACCGTCCGACAATAGGCAATGACATTAATATAATATAGAGGCCGACACAATGTATCTCTGACACTCCAATAACGATTCGCAAAGGCTTTCTCACGCGAAAATATCTTCGCACGAAACACGCACACCTTTCGCACCAACAATTTAACCCTTTCTTTTTCATGACCACTGTTTACAACAAACCTCGCCAAAATTAACTTCGCAATAAAACATCATAACTGTTATTGTTGTTATTAAAACAAATAATTCACATAAAATATACAAATAATAAAAATAGATCAATTAGTTAATTGTTATTGTTGCATTGAATAACAAAAGCAGAAATGTCTATTATTTATCGTTTGTGTATTTTATTTTTTAAAGA